TAAGACAATATAGTTAGACTACGGGATGAAAAATGTTTGAATTGTTTTTGAATATTGTTAAATTTATAGATAAATAAATTAATATCATAATATATTTTAGATATCACTTACCTTACTTGTTAAATATAAAATTTAATAGTTAAGTTTCTCAATTTCTATTTGCTTAATTTTATCTATATTCTAATTTTTCTCAGAAAGACTTTTTAATTTTAACTGAAGATTTATACAATATGTCTACTAGATAACATTAGAAATAACAACAATATTTAAAGAATTATTAATAATAAATTAATTTTATTGAACTTAATTAATAATTTTTAAAATATCATAATTCAATCTCAACATTAATACCTTGGGTCTTGTGTTTAACTTTATAGCAAAAATAAAATAAAAGCAAAGAAATTATTATAAGAAGGCCAATAATCCATCCAATATTTTTAGAGGGTGCTGCTACTAAATTAAAAATAATTGTATAATTCCTTTAATATATCCAATTCTCACAAGTTAAAGTGACATTAATTGATTTTGTTTTTCTGTGCAAATTACAGGTAATATTTTAAGTACTAAACAAGTGAAATTATGCTTTTCCTGATGATATATAGAGGGAAATTTCATTCTGATATTTTTGATTTACAATCATAGCATATTAAGAATTAGTTTAATAAAATGAGCCTTACATCAAAATAGGTTCCTCTATATTTAAACTTTCTAAATTGCCTAAGTAATATATTCCTATGTTATAATTAGATTGATTTTTATATCTAAATTATTGCATCAGTGTACCTTCAAAATAAATAGAATTGCCAGTAGAATAAAAATCCAATATATTCGGAATTATTTTTAGAACAGTAGCTAGATTATTAGAATACTAAATCTTTTAAGAATTTATTATGACTCTGATTAAGTAACTATAATTTGATTTATCAGTCAAAAGTATTATTACATTTTCATAGGTATTTCTTATAATTAGAATGTATTTAAATTAATCCATTACATAGCAGCTATATTAAAAATTGCAATAATGTATTATCACATAAACAAGTGGCTATATACTGATATTTTCCTCTTCAATTTCCATTATTTGATAAAAGAGTTGATTCATAATGGTTTAAAAAATAATAATCCTGTTTATTTATCCAAAATTATTAAGAAAGCCAGCAGAAAAATCTTAACAATAAAATAAATCATCAGATTGATAGCTAAATTTTTAAGTTAACTGTATGAAACTGTTATTAGATTAGTTAAACCAATACAAAAATTAACTTTATTTTTTTAAATTCCCTAAGATAAAAATTTGATTTATAATGCCCTTCATTTTAAAGATATTTGAAAATAGTAAGGGAATTTTTGTAATTGTATTTTTGACTATATAACCTGAAGAATTTAAAGTCAAGTTTATCAAATACTATGTAGTATTATTTTGACAAATTGAATATAAATTTTAATTATCTGATGTGGAAGCAAGACAATGAGTGAAGTTTAGTTTATGTTGATGATTATACTTTGGCTTTCATTTACAGAATATTTGTATGCAGTAATCCAGCAACCTTTAGTTAACAATTTATCAATTTTAAAAATATCTTTAATTTAAAAATGAGACAAATCATGCAATTGGCATGAGTTGTATTATCTATCAGCAATTAGGCTTATAGGATATGATAAATAATTATTTCGATTATTTTAATCATTCAAGGTTAAGTTTATGATAATTGTTTTATTGTGCTAAAATATCATAAAATGTGATAAGGAAATAATACTTTAATTAGGAGTTTGTTATAAGGCTGAATTATTTAATGCAGAAATTACTGTATAATTATAAATAATTTTTGGTAAAGTATGGTTAAAGCTTTAATCAAAGTCATTAATTTATATATTAATACTTTAAATTTATTCAAGTTAATAGAAAGCATTTTAATAAAATATGATTGAATTATCAAAAAAGAATGATTTCTAATACTAAATAGCAAGTGTGCATAAAATTGTTGAATTTAATTTTAGCTAATAATATAAACTCATATGCTAAGGCAATGAAGGATTATAAATATAAACTGTATTATTAGCAAAAGTAATATACAAGAATAAATTATCTGATGTTATAATTGTTTTATCATTATTTTCAACTTCTGATAGATTCTTTACATAACAGTAGTTTGGTAAATTTTAAACATTTAAAACTTGAAAACAAATAGCCTAATCATTCCAACAAATATGTGATAAAATCAATTATTAATTAACTAAATTGATTTATTTAATTCTGAAATTCACTTGAATCAATTCTATTCGAATTGGTATATTATTTTATTGTATTGAAATTATTATTACTTCTTAAACATTATTGATATATAAAAAAGAGGATAATAATTGTGTATTCATAATAAGCTGTTTGGGATTGAAATAAATGGTTTTATTGATAAAGAATTTATTTATATAGTCTTAATTTAAGGTAAAACATTTTTAAAAATCCAAAGACATTATTTAAATTTCTTGATTTATAAATAGAATTATTAAATTATTATAAGTTACTATAAACTCTAAGATCTCTGATTCAAAAGTTTTATTTATCGAACTAGCAATCATTCTATTAACATACTAGTATTAAATTAAATAGATTGTCTGATTATCACTTAAACCTATTATTATAATTTCAGGATAAATGCTATAAGCAGTCTAAATTAAATTTGCATTTACAGAAATTGGAATATGCTAGGGTGTATTATTCTAAAGATAAGGATTTTTATAATAGTAAGGGTAATTGAAAATAGATAGTGATATATAATTATATCCTATAAAAAAAAGTAAGTTTCATTAATGTTCTAAATTATTTACAATTATGAGACTAAATTAAAGTTTTACTAAATCTAACCAATTTAATAATAAGTAGTGTTATGGAAAAAAAAATAACTAGTATCATTATTTTATGAATATTGTAATAATTTTCCTGAATAACTGAAAAAATTTCCACTAATATTTGTCCCAGTTGTATATTAATACTATGGAAATTCCTAATTAAACATTACATAAATATTTGTATTATCCTTAGGCAAAATGTAAAGATTATATTTCTCAAACATTTCTTAACTAAAACACATAATAGAAAATGTGAAACTGTTATTTGTAACTTAGAGGTTTATTAAGTTGATTTATAAAGATGGATTTTAAACTTGATAAACTTTAATAACTTAATTCAATGAAAATAATTCACTATCAGCATTAAATTATAATAAGGAATTGAGTTATATTTTATGATCATACTAGAAGACTGCTAATTTGCCCTACTAATAAAGGATTATTGTATGATTTTATTAAAACAATATATACTAGTTATTTTAGAGTTGATTAATTAAATTAAAATTGATTATGAATATTTTATATTAAAATATATTTTTCACATCCCAATAAGGAAGTTATTTAGAACTCTTTTCTAGATTGTGATGAATATTATACCAATATTTGATCACATTAAGATTAAGTCCAATAATTGTAATAAACATTAATGATTATAAAATTAGTCATATAATCTGATGTGAAATTATATTAAAGTTAAAATTAGTTATCTGAGGAGAGAGATATCTATAAGATCTAATATTAAGTAAGTACATAAATAAAAGGATTTATTTTAATCGGAATATCGAAGTCTATAAAGTCGTCATTCCAATAAGTTAAATTTTAATATTAATTTGAAAATAGGGATAGAATAGAGTAATTTTAATAATATTAGGCAATATATAATATAAGTATTATTTCCATTAATAATAGACTATAATTTAGTTCTTATAGGCTCTGAACTTGAAGATGAATATACAATATTATATTCAAAATCATTGATATTCACTAAATAAAAATAATTATTTTAATAACAGTCAAGCAAAATGTTAAATTGTATTGATAAATGAATACTAAAACAATTGTATGAAGGATTTATCTTTAAAGTTGATCCAATTTATTCAATTACTTTATTCTTCCATTCATATATTGTTATTTCATTATTCAATGAAAGAGCAACATAATGAGTATTATTTGATGATAATGATTTAAATTCTATAATAATATTTAGATTTATACAATTTCCACTTATGTTATAGATTTCTTAAAATTAGTGCATAATTTGTATATTTTCAATATTAGGATGCGTTATCCATCTTAATTAGTAATTCTTAAATATTATTTGATTAATATCCTATAAATCATAATTTTATTATCCTTTCTCATATAATACATATGCGTTTTAATATGCAAGCTCATACAAATTGTATTCATAGTATTCTCCCTCTGTTGGGTATAATGAAATCTCTTTTTCCATCAGCATATATGCAGATACATATATCTAATAGAGGAGAAGAAAATTAAAAATCATTTTATAAAAAATATTTGAAGTTCTAATTAAAATTATACGCTTTTAAATTGACAATCTATTGATATTTATTCTATTCTTGATATCAGAGATCAATATCTTTGTTTATTTCTTTAATTACAAATTCATTACTATCATTATACTTTTCATATTAAATTTTGTGCAAAATTATTTCTAATAAACTTTTGATAATTTCTAATTTAAATATATATGGCAAATAATTTTCTAAAAAAATAATAATATATTCCTTTTTAATTTATTATGAGATTGAAAATGTTTAAAAATAGGAATTTTAATATAAGTAAAATGGGTTGGATGTCAATTATTTAATATTAATTATAATTATTATAATAAATTACAGAGTTAATGACCATAACTATTAAAAAAGATTATTTAACTCAAATAACCAAAAATTCAGTCATATAAAAGAAATGAATTAAGAATTTAGGAATCTCATGTAGAAATGTAGTTAGAAATTTAATTATTTAAATAGCAATCTTATGCAATTTATCCTTATTATCAGCTAAGATATTACATTTTCATAAATTGAATCTTTATTTCTTGGTGAAAATGTTTATTTGAATATTAAATTTTATATCTTTAGGAAAATTATTCTTCATTAAAACAAACTAAAATTCTATTCAACACATTTTAATCCTAGTTGAATAAGCTAATAAAAAATTTCGATTCATATTATCAAGATTATGTTGTTTAAATTAAATAATATCAATTTATTCTATTACTAATCTAATAATTTTACATATGTGAAAATTTACATTTCAAACTTCAAATCCATCATATTTGTTAATTAATTCAAATAATTATGAGTCTTATCTAAGTTTGAAAGTTGAACATTAGCATAAATTTTGATGATTTTTTTTGGAGGTGTGAATAAAATGCCTTAGCCTTAGTTTAAAATGGATCATAGTATTAAATATTATTTTATTAAATATTATTTTAAATTTAGAACAATAATACAATATCAGATTTTAAATATTATCTTTAATTTTTCATAAGATAATGCTCGTATGAATTCATATGTCTTTATGTATAGAATATAAATGTTTGTTCACATAAAATATTAATCTATTTCAAAATCATAAAAACGGATATAATACCAAAATTTTAACATGATGAAGTCCATACTTTTTTTGATTAAAATGCACCTTTAAAGGCAATATTTGATTTGAATTCAAAAGACAACTCATTGGAATTGTAGTAAATAGTTTAATGAAAGCCCAATAAAAATTATAGCTTTACAGCAAAATTAAAAAATTATTAAAGGAGTCCACTAATCAATTTAATGATTACTTTCATTTTTAGTTAAAGATGAAGTTAAATTTTATAAGAGGCTGAAATAGATTTAATTTTATATATTTTTCTTTTGGTTCAATTATTAAAATATAGTATATATCTATTCTTTCTATTCCATTCAAAATTTTATTTGATATTGATCTATTAAAACTTGAATTACGGGTCTAATGTTTAAAGGACTATAATTATTTTTTTTAATTAATTAAAAAGGATTTAATAAAAAATGATAGAAAATGAAGAGGATCTGCTTTGTTTTTAGAAACATAGGCTTCCTGTCTTAATGATTGCTTGGGATATAAAATTAAAGAAGAATAAAAAACTGTTATGTTCTAAATGCCTAGAAATTTTGGAATCAGAAGTTGAATTTAAGAATTTTAAGAAAACTTATTAAACAATTGAAGAAAATTAAAAGTTAAAGAAAGAATAAGTTGAGAAAATAATATTTATTAATATAAAATAGATAGAATAATTATAATAGGAATTTCATTAATTAAAATCTAATGTTGTTCAATAATTAGATGAATTAATTGGAAATTTAGATGAATGGATCAAATATTTAACCGCTTTTGCCTAATAAAATTTTCAATATAGTTTCTTTGAAGAATTGGACATATTAATTACCTAAAAAAAACTTGATGGATTCAATTAAAAATCTTTAATTCATAAAATCACTTAGATTAATTAATCATGGAATTAAAAGCTTAAAAAACTAAATTTATTTAATTCATTTTAAGAAAGTAAAAAATGTTAAGATATACTAAAAGTTATAGAAAATCTCAATTAAATAAATGAAAAAATCTCAACAGAACCAAGCTTAGGCAATATATAATTATAATAGCATATGAATTAATATATAAATCAATAAAAAATATTAAAAAAATAAGTAATGATGGATAACTAAATTGAATTTAATTTAATTGATGATTCAAATTAATAGTAAGAGTAGTGTTGGGTGATAGTGTTCAATAAAACAGGATCAATTATGATTTCAACTTGTAATAATCTTATTAAAATTTGGAATTTTGACTAAGGAAGATTACAAATATCTTATATTTATGAAGTACATGTAGATGATGTTTTGTGTTTGGTTTACAGCAAATCGAGAAATAACTTTATTTCTGGATCGAGAGATAATACGATAATTTGTTGGTAATAAATCAAATAAAAGGGATGGAAATGTTCATAACCAATCTAATAACATAAAGGTTGGGTTCATTGTTTAATATTAAATAAGCAAGAAGATCAACTTATAACTGGAAGTGATGATTGTTCAATAAGAGTTTGGAAAGTAGATTTTATTAAGAATGAGCTTACTTTTCTGTAAGAATTAGTTTAACATACCAACAGTGTAAATTCATTGAGTTTTAATTAATCTGAAACTGTGTTTGCATCATGTGGATTTCATGAACTTATAATATGGGAGAAAGGATTATAAGGAAAATGGAGATTTAAATATAAACAAGATGTTTTTTATGGAAATAAAATACATTTCATAAATGATCAACAATTTATTTGGGTAACTAAATCTAAAAATATTGATGATATTTTGGTGTTTGAATAATAAGCTGGTGTCTTTAAAAAGAATTCAATCAAAAATATTCAATTAATATAAAATAATCAATGTGATGATGAACTTTATTTTCCAATAATACATAATAAAGAGAAAAACATGATTTTGGTAAGACATAAACACCATATATATCTTATTAGACAATTAAACAATGCTTTATTTAAAACTATTGTATCATTGAATTGTTAAATTAATGAGACTTTTGGAGGTATGACCAATGATGGATAGTATTTAGTATTATGGGATAATAAATATCAAAAGTACTCATCTTATGAGATTTTAAATAAATGAATTTTATAAATAATTATATTATTAAAATTATTATCTATTTAAGTTAAAAAGTGCAAGGAACATAAATGAACATAATAAATAGAAAAAGACTTTATATTAATTAAGCCCCCTGAATATTAGATAACAAACTCATAGATGTCAGAATTTTATGTTTTAAAAGATAATTACAATAACGATTAGAATTTTTGTGAATTTCGATAAATGATAAAATAATAAAATAATAAAAATATTTACCTACTAAATTTTGACTTATTCAATATGTTTAACAATAAAATTTTATATTTGATGATTATTGGGCTGTTAATTAATCAAAAATTTTTGTAAGTTATTTCAAATTTATTACTTATTTCTGTGCGCTTAATATTTATAAATATGTCAATATATAATATCAATAAATACAACGCCGCCTTTGGCTGCCATTTTGATAAAATTTTAAGAATTGAATTTTTAAAATGAATGTAATTTAATTTTGAATTTTTCGAAATCATTAACAAAATTTATTTCATAAACATACTTAAATAAAAATTCTCAAATAACTCAAAAAACTTATCGTTTTAGAAATATATTTGAATCATTTTATTTAGGGCAGTTTTGAGATTTAAATATGCAATTAAAAAAGTCATTTTTACAAAAAGAAGTAAAGAGAAAAATTTTAAAGATGATTTATCTATAATTTTGAATTTTTATTAATAAAACGAGAATAAAATCATTAAAGTTATATTGATAATTGAAGCTAATACCTAAAGGTTCATTATTGTAATCAACCATATATAAAAAGCTATTCTACATTCACAAGATGGAAGTTAAATGGTTACTATAATAGTAGGCTAGAGAAAAGAATCTTGTAAGAATTCGATTTCTTAAAAGATAATGCAATAATGTATAAAAAAATAGGAAATTCTAAATTTATTGTAGATTTTTTACTCATAATAGCAACACCTATCTTAATCCTAATTTTAAATATATTTATATATAAAATATATGGTATTAAAATTTCTTGTGGTTCCACCCCTAGATTATGCAATTAGAGATTATTCAGCAAAGATATTATTGTTACTTATTCTACAACAAGACAGGAAATGTTGAACTAAATGAAAATTAGATTATAAGAGCTATAAATATGATAATAGTTTATTTTAAAGTATGTTGACCTTGATAATAAAGTTTAAAAAATTTTTGTTCATATTGATACCCAGTAATATTCTTTTAAAAAAGGCTGTATTAAAAAGTGCTTAAAAGGTAATAGACTTCTTGATGACATAAGTCATCATCATAGAAGAAAATAATAATCCAAATTTACATTTATTGATTTAGAAATAAAGCACAAAAAAAATATAATTCTATTTTTTCTGAATACTTCTCAGAATTTTCCAATAATAAAATAAGAAATAAAATTATTTAAATGAATAGTTAGAAATGGTAAAAAGTAATAAAATAGCCAATCTTTTAAATAACAAAACTTAAATAAAATATGAGAAATCACTGATCAATTTAAATAAAACTAAAATATAAAATTTAATTTAATAATCCAAAGACATCATTTACGAGTAAATATTAAAATGAAAATAAATAATTAATTTAGAAAGGGATAATTTTCTTGAAGTTTAAATTGAAATAATATTAAGCAGATTATAAAAACAATTAAGAATTTCATATTAACTATTTAGATAGTAAAATGATGATAGTAGTAATAAAATGATCCAATTTATAAAAAAAATTATAGAATTAAAAGGAATTTTCTAGTTTATATTATGTTTATGGAAAATAAAGAATTTTTAGTGAAATTTCAATAATAAAAGAAGGTTAGCTTAATAAAAATTATTATCATAATCAAAAAAATAACTGGATAATTTATCACAAGGAATATAATAAAATTAGTGACTAAAGTGATTAATCTTAAGATTTCCATCATTATAAATATCAATTACTAAAAATATTGAGCAAATAATTCTTCTCAGCTATTTTAAAGATGTATAATAAAATAACTTAATCTTAGAACTTCTGAGATGGCTGATTCAATTTTTAATTTCATTTAGAATAAGATTGTAAATGATAGCTAATCAAGTTATTTACTTAGAATCATTGTTAAGTTTACTTAATTATTCTCTAAAAACATTTCTCATTTTCATTTCAATTTCTTCAATTTTGGTCATGTTCTGGATCTTTTTTGTGTATATATGATTAAATAAAACTAAGAAGAAGGCAATGATGAACCATTTTTTGGTATTTTGATTGTAAATTTTAGGAATTTAATATAGGTTAAGAAAGATTAATCAGAATTCTTATAAGGATATTATTTAGATTTATCTCTAATTGTTATATGCCTATTTGTTGAAATGAAATAGTATAATTGGATAAAAATTGAAAAGATTTATCTGAAAATTTATTTAATGGATATTTTAATTGTAAGTTGTCTTGTGCAATTAACTTTGGTCAATTCATTTCAATCTGTGAAGATTTATAAGTTTCTCATTTCATCACAAATGTAATGATAATAATAAAAATCAGTTTGATAGGGCTCATTTTAGTTAGATTTAATGTTACTTTTGCTGTCTAATATATATAATATCTGCAAATAATGTAATTATGTTTATGAATAATAAACTTTGTCATATTTATGAAAACTTATGTTTAAAACATAAATTAGCCAGTTTTATGAAGAATAAGATGATGGTAACAAAAATAGTGAAAAAGTATGCTCATCCTAGCTTAAATTTTAGGTATCTCTTATTTACTTAAATATAAAAGATTATTTTATCATTTGATAGAAGAAATGCCTTGTTTTATCTACATNTGTAATAATCTTATTAAAATTTGGAATTTTGACTAAGGAAGATTACAAATATCTTATATTTATGAAGTACATGTAGATGATGTTTTGTGTTTGGTTTACAGCAAATCGAGAAATAACTTTATTTCTGGATCGAGAGATAATACGATAATTTGTTGGTAATAAATCAAATAAAAGGGATGGAAATGTTCATAACCAATCTAATAACATAAAGGTTGGGTTCATTGTTTAATATTAAATAAGCAAGAAGATCAACTTATAACTGGAAGTGATGATTGTTCAATAAGAGTTTGGAAAGTAGATTTTATTAAGAATGAGCTTACTTTTCTGTAAGAATTAGTTTAACATACCAACAGTGTAAATTCATTGAGTTTTAATTAATCTGAAACTGTGTTTGCATCATGTGGATTTCATGAACTTATAATATGGGAGAAAGGATTATAAGGAAAATGGAGATTTAAATATAAACAAGATGTTTTTTATGGAAATAAAATACATTTCATAAATGATCAACAATTTATTTGGGTAACTAAATCTAAAAATATTGATGATATTTTGGTGTTTGAATAATAAGCTGGTGTCTTTAAAAAGAATTCAATCAAAAATATTCAATTAATATAAAATAATCAATGTGATGATGAACTTTATTTTCCAATAATACATAATAAAGAGAAAAACATGATTTTGGTAAGACATAAACACCATATATATCTTATTAGACAATTAAACAATGCTTTATTTAAAACTATTGTATCATTGAATTGTTAAATTAATGAGACTTTTGGAGGTATGACCAATGATGGATAGTATTTAGTATTATGGGATAATAAATATCAAAAGTACTCATCTTATGAGATTTTAAATAAATGAATTTTATAAATAATTATATGTATAATATTCATTTAGGATTTAATTTAAATTTTTGAATTAGCTTTCTGTATTTTACATTATTATGATAAAAAGGAATTTATAAAAAATTATAATTATTATTTTTTAATAGTTTTATTTTTTTTTAGAATTAAAATTTGGCATTCAAGAGATACCAATCAATATGAATAGAAACAATTATTTAACTTTTCTAATTTTCACAAAATATATACATTAACTTAAGATATCATATAAATTATGATTTTTAGATACTTAATTTTTATATTTCTTGTAATGATTTTTCTTGTTGGTATTTGTTAAAATTGAATATTTTTAAATATATATAAGCTATCTTTAAAAGAAGGATATAGGAATATAAGAAAAAAGAAAACTTTGAAAGCAACATCTAATAGTTACATTAACGAGATTTCATTTTAGGTGTTTATAAATTGAAGAATTGCTACTACTCTTACTCAAAGTAAACATCTTAATCTATAGTTTCTCTTAAAATAAAAGATTTGCTAAAATAAAGTTAGCTTCTCATTCAGAAAAGGGAATATAAATTTAATTTGAAATTCTATTTTTAACTAGCTTTTAATTCTAAAGTTTAGTATACATGTTTAATTGACTAGAATACCTATATTTATATGAATAAAATGATAAAATTAGAATTCAATATGAAAAAAAAGGGTGATTAAAAGAGATCTCATTTCATTAATTAATTTAATTAATAAAAATGAATATCTTAAATGAAAAATAAATTCATGAAACATTAGAAGCAATATACAAAATTCATAATCTAAAATAGATTGCAGTTGATTTAGATTTAACAGAAAAGGTATGGATTTAATTCTTACGTAGTAAGTGTTTAGTAGAGAAACTAAATAATAATAATAAAGTGAATAATTTAAGGTTTTATAAAAAGAAGTCAAGTCTAAAGAGAATCAAGCAAGACTCAACTATTATAAAAATATATGAGACCAAATATGGATTTTAAATCATCAGTAAATGATTCTTTGGAGAAGATCTTAAAATAGATATATTAATATATATATCAAATTTAACGAGAAAATAAGAATTATTAGAATATGAAAATTACTTTAAGACATAAAATTGTTATCTGAATTATATTCTAAAGAATAATAGAAATTAACTAAACTATTAGAGGATAATCAATTCATCGATAAAATATAAGGGCAATTTGAACTCTTATTCAATAGTTCTGAATACTTTTAGAAGCTAGATGCATTAAAAAAAAAAATTAAAGATATTATGGAAACTTCCTTAACTACTTAAAATGACTTTGTATATTTTATTAAACATAGAAAAAACCAAGTTTAAGTAGACTCTGCAATAATCATAAAAAGAAAATTATTATGATTGAGTTATTCAATTAATTAGCATAAATAAAAAGGAATTTCAATAAAAATTGAATGAAATAAGCGATAAATTGATTACAGATGTATTCTTATGCAATAATAAGTCTAAATAATCAAGATAAGAATTGTTGAAGTCCTAATATTCTAAATTATAGATTATTTTGAATGAATATAAAAATATATTTGGCAATAATAATTATAGCCGAGAATTGAAAAAGTATTGCTCTATAAAATAATTGGAGACTGAAATATTAAAATTAACAGAATCTAATAAAAATTTAGAATCTAAAAGAAATGTGTAATAATGATGAATAGAGAATAATTTAGTAAATTCTATGGAATAGTCATTAAGGTAGAATTTAATTCGATAAACAAAAAATTATAGTCAAAATTATTTATAATTTTTACAAGAATTCATAAGAAATTAAACAGACAAAATAGCCCTTTTTCTATCTCGAAATTATTAAACTCTTAAATTCGATTGTTTTCCTACAAATAAAAATAAAATTTAATATATTGAAAAGAAAGTCAAGGATGTGATTTAAAAATGATTCTTCATTCCTTAAGTTACTCTTTTTTATAATTAATTTTGGAAATTTTTTCACTATATTTAAACTAATTGATTGTTAGAATTGTATAAAAAAAACAATAATTATAAATTTGAATGCCCTTAATTTAAAAAAAAAAATGTTATTAATTTCAATTTCATCACGCACAAGGATCATAAAGGATTAGAATATAAATGGAGAACGAAAGATAGAAATAAAACACTGCTAGCTCTAGTAGTGATTAAGAATATCATTATCAAGAGAAGAAAATAGTGAAACATAGAATTCCTTAATAGTGTAAATTATTTTTGGTGAAAGCTTTTTACATTAATTAGAAAATAAAACTGAATGTAAATTCCTATTAAATAAAATGCAATTATACTGTTTAATATTGAGAAAGATTGAATACATTGAGAGAAAACCAAAGATAAAAGCGTGTAATATCTGCCTTTTGAAAAATAATTCTTTTATGGAAGAATAAATAATTTGACAATAAAGAATAAATAATAATAAAAAACTTTTATAA